CAAAAATGGTCAAAAAACCTGTTGTTGCATATATACACACCAAAAACTTTAGCCTCGATATTTCTGCAATTGATGTAGAATAAACATGCCTTTCAATTCCAGGCACAACAACGAGAAAACCTTCCTGGTGTGGATCAACGAGGAAGACCACACTCGTGTGATCTCCATGGAGAAGGGGGGCAACATGAAGAGGGTCTTTGAGCGTTTCTGCAAGGGTCTCCTAGAGGTGAGGTCATGCATGTGTATGTGTCTCTCAGTCACTGTTAAATCCACAAAAGCCTCCATTATTTATCCAGCAGAGATGCTGCAGCTCAGAGCGATGCCCTTTTGTGGACAAACAATCGTCCTGCCAGGCATGCATCTGTGTGTAGTCTGTTGCTTTTTCTAAAAGGAAATCTAAAATAGACGTTGTATGTTTTATTTTTGACCATCTTCTCTATTGTTTTAGTTCAGCAGATCACTCTTGTATTATTCTCACAAGACATTTTCAATTTTGTCACTCAGGTTGAGAGACTAATTCAGGAGAAGGGTTGGGAATTCATGTGGAACGAGAATCTGGGATACATTCTCACCTGTCCGTCAAACCTGGGCACAGGGTTACGAGCTGGCGTCCATGTTAATCTTCCTCGCCTCAGCAAGGTCCCTGCTCTAGAAATACATTATTACCTTTCTTTCCTATTTAGCCCATGCCATGTTAATAATTTTGCACCTTGTTGGGCCTATGCATGGTAATATTAATGCATTTAGTGAATTTATGAATGTATTTTAATACAGTATTTTTAGCTGTTAGGGTGACCCACATTTATGTTATATCATGTCTGTTGTGTATTCACATTAAAAGTTGATAGATTGTACAATCCATTAAAACTAGTGTTAGTGATGGGCGGATCGATACGTAGTAACGATATATCGATATTGAATCAAAAGTATCGACACTCAAATGAAAATATCGATACTACTAATTTTGTTTATTTGACAAGAAATCTAATGCTTACAATATGCATTGAACTGGATGAATAACCTGAACCACTTCCCTGCTTATCTGAACTGAACACACGCAAATGCTGCAAGTCAGAACCAATCAATCGCAGAGAGCGTTCACACACTGCCAACAATGCATTCCAACCACTGATCTATAAATTGTCATTAGATCAGTGATTCTTATCAATTATTTGATAAGAAGACAGAAAAAATATGTTTGAGCTATTTCACAATAAACAAATTGTAACCTACATAGTTTGTGCAATTAAATTGTTTTAAATTGAATGTTAAAAAATTCATACTGATGTTCTATTCTGTAACTAATTTTAATATAAATCATACATTGTCAGAATAAAAAGGTTACATTTTATTGGTGCAACAGCCTGTCACTGGCAGTCCCTTATGAAAATGAACATTACAGTGACCATAGTTCAAATACCACAACAAGTAAACATTTTAACCATGTGTAAATAAAAATATAATTTAATAAATTCGAATTAAGGCATATTGAATTTTGAAAAATGCCTTTCTAATATAATGTTTAATGGGTCTCATTACCCATTTTAATCTTGAAATGTTCAAATTTGAAAGGTCAGTTTAGAAGTATCGGAATTGGTATCGGTTTCAACGATACTGGCCTTGAAAGTATCTGTATCGTAACGAAAACAAAATAAGTGGTATCGCCCATCACTAACCAGTGTAATATTTTGTGCTATGCATGTTCATTATGTCTATTCTATTTCAGGACACTCGTTTCTCTAAAATCCTGGATAACCTGCGGCTCCAGAAAAGAGGAACTGGAGGAGTGGACACCGCGGCTGTTGGAAGCACTTTTGATATTTCCAATCTGGACAGGCTGGGTCAATCAGAGGTCAGTGGTGTCAAAGGGCAGAGCACCATAAAGGATAAATGTATTTTAAGTCCTAATAAAAATTCTGATATATATATATATATATATATATAGTGTGTGTGGTTCCATATTTTTTTGTGAGTAAATGACAACATTGATTGATAATATTTTAATGACAATATTTTTTTTAATTTTGAGTGAACTATACCTTGAAAAACTGAGAAAATGTAATTACCTCACCATGACATCTTGTCTTTATCAAAATGTGCTCAGGTCCAACTGGTTCAGACTGTGATAGATGGAGTGAACTATCTCATTGATTGCGAAAAGAAACTGGAAAAAGGACAAGACATCAAAATCCCGGCCCCCATCAGCCATTTTAAATAGAATGGCAGTGTTTTCGTAGCTCCTCCTTTCTCCTGGCTCTTCCCTCTTGTGTGTTCCTTCCTCCTTCAATATTCCGCTGATACTGATCCGTAAGCATGGCTTTGTGTTACGTCAGACATACCACACTCCAGTATAAATAAAACAGGAGTGAATGTAGGCTATACTTCATCATGATTGTGTTGATGTGGCGCTATTGATTAGTCACATTGTAACTTGATTGTACTGCAATAATACTATGATAGCCATTGTCAAGAATTGCCTCAGGTGTCAAAGAATTAAACAGATGTTTTTTTGTCAAAGATATTGACGATAAAAATTTGCTGAAGGATATTGGAGTGTTTTATTGTGTTTTACTGTACATGAAAGTAGGCAAATGCCCAAACTACCGCTGAAATAACGTTTAAATGTGCTCAGTGATGTTTTTAGGTTGTGCTGACAGTTGTCACAAGTCTACACTGACACCTAGTGTTGTGGGTGAAGCATTGAAAAATGAAAAAAACTTATCGACCCACTCCATGTAATATACAGTATATATATATATATATATATATATATATATATATATATATATATATATATATATATATACACCCCATCACTGTTTTCACTGGACTCAGCATGAGGACTTGTGCCAAGGTGACTATTGAGAGTGCCATGCTCAGTCACTTTTCTTAATTGGGTGGTATCTGAGGTGAAATTCCAGGACTTACACATTATGATAGAATGCTCTTACTAGAGGGGGAAAAAAACATACAGAAAAAAAAAACATATTCAGGAAATCATTTTCCCTACTTATTTCCACCTTGTGATTTTTTTTCCCCACTTTGTTGGTCACAGCACAATTTTTGTGTTCAAGTTCAACCACAGCCATGTTACTGCTTCAGATAAGTGTCTCTGAGGAACCGGGCTGTCGAGTGCCTAAAAACCTCGACAACCCACTTCCACTGGATAAACCTGGACTCTCCATCCTCACTGTCCTGCTTCAGTGGCCAGATGAGCATACCACAGTTTCTTCCTCTCATATGCCTCATCTACCGCATCCTCCCATGGCACTGTTAACTCTATCGGTTGAACAATGCGTGCTGATCCAGACCACAAAACAATATCTGGTCATGGGTTAGTGATGGTAGTCTCAGGTGGAAAAATAAGCTGTTGATCAAGATCAGCCAGCAGCTTCAAGTTGTCCTGGGCGAGAATTGGTGTTAAAGGGTTAGTTCACCCAAAAATGAAAATTCCATCATCGTTTACTCACCCTCAAGTTGTTCAAAACATCTATGTGTTTATTTGTTCTGCTGTACACAAAGGAAGATATTTGGAAGAATGTTTTAATCAAACAGATCTCATTCCCCATTGACTATGTATTTTTCCTACTATGGAAGTCAATATGGATTGAGATCTAACTAACTTGAACTAGTTAGAGACCTTGAACTAACTGAAGATTCAGAAACACTACACTTTAGTCAAATGGATAATCAGTTGATGTCATTTCTAGGTTCTGATAGGTTAACAGTAGCAATAACTATGCCAATTGCAACATCTGAACATGGTATTCTGTTCTTTATTCCAAGGTTATATAATAGGTCATACTGCTTTTTGAGACAAAACAATGACACTTTATATTTTAAGATGTGTCAGTGCAAGTTAAAACTGTTGAAACAGTTATCTGTGAAACCAGGGGTCTATGTCCTATACTTAAGCACCTTTGGTGAGCGTCACAGGTGAGTCATAACATCTGGAAGGACTTCTCATCTGTCGAATTCTCCTGGCGTCTATTCTTTTGGCATAGCATTTCACTCAACAATAATCAACTCAAAAATAATCAACAATCCCTGCAAGTACAATTAGATAAAACATTGTCAGGCAATGTCAGGAATTCACTGGAACAGAACAAAACTATCCACACAGGATATTATGTTATTGACCTTCACAACCTTAGACACAGTGGTCTTTACATCTCATACAGCTATCATGAGAAGAAAAAATTGAATAAGAATAAAGTTATCTTTCTACAAAAAATAACTATAATTTCCAATACATTTTACCTAATATAAAAGGAATTGTAAATCCTCCTCCTTCACTATAAAAATACAAAGAGAAAGAAAATGTGTCTTCCTCAAACTGGGGTTTGTAAATAGGAACAGGGGTTCATAAATCTTAAAAATGTTTAATTAAAAACAATTAAATTAAAACGCTTACTAAAAATATACTATTATGCTGTGTGGCCTCTCAATTTTTCACTTAATAGCCTAGCCATTCTTGTGTGTGCAATTCTACAAAACTGGAAGACTTTACATAGCTATATAAGCAATGGGCTTTTTTTTTTAGAAAGGAAAATCAAAAATATAAAATTAGGAAGAATTTTAAGAATAAGAAGAATTCAGAATCAAAGAATTGTGAATAATTTGCTGCTATTTTGTGATATAAATAAATATCTCAATAAAAAAGTTACTGTAGTCTCATTACAAGTATTTTAAATGTAATCTAATCTAATTACAAGTGTTTAATTATAGGAATCTGAGTACATAATTATCTACCCAGCACTGCACAGCACTGTTTGGTGTATTTTGGACTGAGTATGTTTGTTGTTAAAAAACAATATTTTAACTCAAATTATATAATTTTGACACATTACATTTTAACAACAAAGGCAACTATATTCCTCATAGTAGCAAGAAAGCATGATTCCCCCACCCGGAAGTGTGTGTTTCCCGAGCTCTGATTGGCTGACAGCATCAGCATGACGCGACTGAAAACCCAATCGTGAGATGCCACACTTTGGTTACTTTGAAGAGCTCCGGGTTTGCACATCCGTCTGCGCTTTCTCTTTCATTGAGATTGAGTGCAGGGTACCAGATTCAGCGGGCCTTTCTTTTGGGGACTCCTTCCCTATACAACATCACCTTAAAAAGAAGCAAACAATTGAGGGCTGCCAGGATATTAGCCATTCCCTCCACTTTTGCACTGAAAAGGGTTTGAAATGATGCTAGCCGTGCTATTTGTCGCTGCTTTTGCAGCGGCCGCGCGCGCGAGTGATGTGCTCGAGTTCACTGATGACGATTTTGACAGCAAAATCGGACAACACGACCTCATTCTGGTGGAGTTTTTCGCACCCTGGTGAGTGGAAGACGATTCTGCCTTTTTAATGATGTTTTCGCCATGCGATTTAGACATTAGTGCACTGGAGCTTACGCTAGGTTACAATACACCATCTTATTGGCTTATAATTGACAGTAAATATATTTATTGAGCTTTTTTTCTAGATACCAAACCTACCCAATAGGATCAACGTTTGGGAACCGCATGCACACACGTGACTTTTAATAATACTGCAAGGCTATGCGTGCTAAAGCGAAAGTAACTGTAACAGCTGTTTGTCTCACTTTAGTATGCAAGGTCTTGAGATGTCTAACGTTATAACAAATCTGGGAACGTATGTAGAGTGATAATGGCTTAAACGCTCTCTGAGATCCGAATGAATCCGTGCGGCTCCATAGTTGTAGATGAAACTCATTGTATCAATCACTTCCTGTTTGTATCTTTTCCTCCTCTTTGCAGGGCTACTTTTCTGTTAGTCCCCCGCGTTCTGCACAAAATGTAATTTTGAATTCCATGTGCGAAAGAAAGTCATTCAGGTGTGGGACCATATGAGATTGAGTAACGTAACTGATGATGACTTCTCATTTTTAGGTCAGCTGTCCCTTTAAGAACTTGTATGCTGCATAGGAAGCGTACATTCTGAATTAGTGGTTTTTGTTCTCCGTGTGAAATGTTAGGATTTTAGACGCATTTTTAGATTTACATAATTCAATTTTAAAAGTATGTCAGATTTAATGTTTGTGGTAGTTTGCAGCTTTAGGCAGTTTACTAGGGAGAAATTTTAGATGTGGGTGGGAAACGAGGATGTTTGGAGGCTCGGCCTCTATCCGTTGTAACGTTTCGATTGGTCAATGAAGTTTCGCTGGCCGCGTGTGATTGGATGACGCTCGATTACGTAGTTAAGCGTTACTAACTAACCTGGGACCTAACTTTTTAAGTTGCCTTTCTAGGCTATGTAGAAAAACTGTTTAATTTAAATTAATATTGGCATTTACTCAGTCTCATATTTTTCTTTTTTTTTGTGATTTGTTTTTGATGTTGTGAAAAGCCTCAGTCACCATTCACATTCATTTGATATTTTTCCTCTTATTGTCTTTTAACCTATTTTTACCGAATAAAAAACCTCATGTGTTCTGTTCACTTTTAGGTGTGGCCATTGCAAACGTCTTGCCCCTGAGTATGAGGCAGCCGCCACTCGACTAAAAGGCATAGTCTCACTTGCTAAGGTATTGTTATTCAACCCTGCAAATTTCCTGTAACATGGTAATATAATCTTAACAATAATAACATTCAAGTGTCCGCAAACATTAATTTCACAATGTTTCTTTGGTCTGATGGAGGATTGTTAGTAATGTTCATCTCTGGTATGATCTAGGTGGACTGTACAGTCAATTCCAACGTGTGCAGCAAATATGGCGTGAGCGGCTACCCAACACTGAAGATTTTCAGAGACGGAGAGGATTCTGGTGGTTATGATGGACCCAGGACAGCAGGTATATTTTCATCTTTTAAGTGATGGTGTAAGTAGTTCCTTTATCAGATTATTAACATCTTTTGTTTCTTCATTACTCCAACAGATGGAATTGTTAGCCACCTGAAGAAGCAGGCAGGCCCATCCTCGGTGGAGCTCAAGAGTCAGGCTGAGTTTGAGAAGTTCATCGGGGACCGTGATGCCAGTGTTGTGGGTAAGTGCTGGTGTTGTATAGTAACGTTTAGTGCCTCACATTAGCCCTGATTATACTATATTACCGTATGCATCAATATTTTTTTCGTCTAATGGTTCTCCGTGTCTCCAGGCTTCTTCGCTGATGGAGGAAGTGCTGCTCAGGGAGAGTTTCTGAAGGCGGCCAGTGCTTTGAGAGAGTCCTACCGTTTCGCCCACACTAACGATGAGGACTTATTGAAGAAATATGACGATGATGGAGAGTATGTGGCATTTTGGTTTCAGTTTTGCAGAGAAAGTCATCTTGTTTCCCCCTTCTAATTTAACAAAACGTTATATATGCATATTGCAGGGGTGTTGTTTTGTTCCGGCCTCCTCATCTCAGCAACAAATTTGAAGATGGCAGTGTTAAGTTCACTGAGGGGAAATTTACAAGTGCAACGATCAAGAAGTTCATTCAGGACAACATGTATGTTTCAGCTTGATTATCACAGTATGGAAATGAGTAAAATAGGGCACAGAGTTGCTCAAATCAGCATTCTTTTTTGATGTGTTTGATGGTCAAATGTTTGATATCAGTCCTTTTCTCATCACATGGCAGTTTTGGCATCTGTCCCCACATGACTGATGACAACAAAGACCAGCTGAAAGGCAAAGACTTGTTGGTGGCCTACTATGATGTGGACTATGAGAAGAACCCCAAGGGTTCAAACTACTGGAGGAACAGGTAGAAATTAAGTTCCGTTTTGACAATGCTTTCTCAGGCCCATTGAAATGTTTTATATATATATATATATATATATATATATATGATGGAGGTGATATTTTATTTCAAGCTAATCCCCCCTCCAAATTACAATCTGGAAATATGTTTAAATAGTAAAGTTATTTATTTATTATTATTTTTTTTAACCCAATCAATTCCATTGGTTAACCCTCAAATGGTCTTTGCACTTCTGGGCTTCCAACAATGGATTGAGTAATTGTACAAAAAATATAAATTTTTTTAATCATACAAATAATATATAATTTTTTTATTTACTTGTCATCTATTCATTAATGCCGTGTTTTTAGAGATAAAGTACTTTTGTATCCATACCACACAATTCCTCAACTACACCATTAGCTTGCATATGAAACATTATTTTTTTATGATGCATTGCATTTATGCTCTAGTACTAGGCCTTCATTTGTGTACAAATTTTCAGATTCATACCTATATATTTTTTTATTTTGACACGTGAAGAAAATATATTTAGTTTTTTTCACATTTCCCATTCATTTCAATGTGGGGTCATATTGACCCCGAAGACTAGAAGTGTAAACTTTTTTTTTTTTTTTTTTTTTTTTTTTTACATACCTTCAGAACAACCAAATCAAGCCCAGTTTGTGTGTGTGTATAGATAGATAATGTATAAAAAGTCACAATCTTATTCCACTGAGATGAAGAGAACTTTTTTTTTTTTAAGTAAAAGTCAATTGGGGTCGTATAGACCCCATGACCCGATTGAGGGTTACAAAAAAAAGTAAAATTAAGTGCATGTTTCTATATGAGTGTGTGTGTAAAACCAAAATCATAAAATTAATGTTAATTTAAATAAAGTAAAATATACAAACCTATTTATTATATTTCAGCTAGTTGCCTTTTTATTATTATTTGATGTTTTGCCGAAATAACTAATACAATATTTAGACATTTAAATAAACAAATAAAAATGTCAAAAAAAACGTCCAAATTACTACACTTTGAAAATGAAGGTAATCAAAACTAAAATGAAACAATTATAGTAATAAATGAATGTATATACACACATTTTACTCAATTACTCCATATATTTTTCTCTCATGTGCCAAAAATAATTTCTTTAGTGAATGTCTTATTTTGTGTGTGTTCTGTTTGTAATTGATCTTTGTCTGTGTACTGATGTGTTTTTCTCAGATATAACTATTTTCATGTGAATGAAGTGCAAGTGTTGAGTGTTGACCGTGGTCATGCTCTGATAATCCTCGTCTCTGCAGGGTAATGAAGGTGGCCAAAAGCTTCCTGGATCAGGGCAAGACGCTCAGCTTCGCTGTGGCGAGTAAGAACAGCTTCAGTCATGACGTGTCCGAGTTGGGTCTGGACGGCAGCAGTGGAGAGTTGCCTCTCGTCGGCATCCGCACTGCCAAGGGAGACAAATACGTCATGAACGACGAGTTCTCGTATGTTTTTTTTTTTGTTTTATTTTTATTTGCACAAAGAATCTTGTTTTAAGTAGGAAAAAAGAAATCAATTTCTTTTGTGTCTGCAGTCGCGATGGAAAGGCCTTGGAGAAGTTCCTGCAAGACTATTTTGATGGAAAACTGAAGCGTTACCTCAAATCTGAACCTGTTCCTGAGAACAACGATGGCCCTGTGAAGGTGCGTCAGAGAGGATTGAGTTTCAGCATTGATTAATAATATTGTTTTATTCATATTAACTTGTCTACATAACCTGCAACTACCTCCATTTTATTCCAGGTTCTTGTGGCTGAGAACTTTGACTCAATTGTAAATGATGACAGCAAAGACGTTCTCATCGAGTTTTACGCCCCCTGGTGCGGACACTGCAAGAGCCTGGAGCCTAAATACAAAGAACTTGGAGAGAAGGTGAGTTTTTAGACCTTTTATATTGGTCACTTTAAAATATTTACCTAAAGAGAACCGTTTCATAAATCTGATCTTTTTCACAGCTTTCCAACAGTCCAAACATTGTCATTGCGAAGATGGATGCCACCGCTAATGACGTCCCCTCTCCATATGAAGTTAGAGGGTATGTCATCTATCAATCTTTCTTTAGCGGCAAAATGCATTTTCTGTGCTGCAAAAGTTTTCGGTCTCATTTGTAGTTTGATGTTGCTAATGAGTCCCCCGCTGTTCACTTTCAGATTCCCCACCATCTATTTCTCCCCAGCTGGTCAGAAGGAGAATCCAAAGAAATATGAGGTTTGTTTAGTTGACTTTGGTTAATACAAACTTGCATACTTCCATCAAGATATTAATAGAATCGATCTTGTTTGACTTTCAGGGAGGTCGTGAAGTCAGCGACTTCATTTCCTACCTGAAGAGAGAGGCTACAAACACCGTGGTGGTTCAAGATGATGAGAAGCCAAAGAAGAAGAAGAAGTCCGAGTTATAAACAATCACAGCCCAACAAACAAGGAGGGAATTCTTGCAGGAGACATAAATTATATTCCGATCTTTAGAGAAGCGAGTGCTCTGACCCACGTCACATTGTCGGCCCTCTTTTGGGCCTGCTGCTCTGGGAACACTGTGGAAACTTGTGACGGGACGGCCAGGCTGTGTGTGATTTTTAGATAAGTGGAAGAGGTACAGAGCTGTCAATTTGAGATTGTTTTCCCTACACTGTACCTTGGAGAGATGCACTTTTGAGACCAATTCTACATATTACTTTCTCATGGAAAAGGGGAGGGGGATTTGGTGAAATAATGTTTTCTTTTTTTTGTACCTTTTTTTTTTTTTTTTTTGTATGTTTGGAAGGATTGTGAAATAAAAGGCCCACTAAACCTATTTTTAGTTTGGTGCTGGTTTCTTTTTAAACGTGTAATTTGATTGTATGTGGCAGAACATTGAACTTGCAGACATATTTATAGGAGAATCATGATTGTATTATTAGCAATTATTTACCAAACAGTTTGTTTTGAGCAAAATTGACAAATTGACACACTGGATGGCGCAGTAGACTCAGTGATACTGACACACGAGAAATATATTATACATTTATTTAAATATGAAGTGTTGGCAGACTTTATAGGTTACAGAGAAAACACCAGAATGCGGTTTTTAAAATTTGGGGTGTATTTACTGCCTTTTGCCGCTAAGAGGCGCCAAAATCACAGACTTTGAAAAATTAATAAATTATGTTTTGCTAAATGTCAAATATAACCCGTTAACATTATTGTTATCATCCAACCCGGTATCACGACACAAGACGTGAAATAATCAGTTGGTCCACTTTGGAAAACGTGTAGATGTCACGGTTTAACCCCCTCAAACATGAAACTTAAAGAAAGGTTCAGATCAGGGGCGCGGGAAGGGGGGTGCTGCGGGGGCTGCAGCCCCCGTTTTCATAGCATCAGCCCCCCCTGGTGATGAGCTGTGGTGGATTATAATATAGGCTACTTAAAAACGTGAGGAAATTTTTTTAAAAATAGACATAATATACTGTGTTTGATATGGGATAAAAATAATGGGCAGTGAATAAGATTTTTTTTTTTTTTTTTAAACTAATGATTAATCATTTTAATATCTACGCCTGCGCCTCCTCAGCTGATTCCGTCACCTGACACGCGTTGAGATCAGGTTGGGATTGATCAGAAAGACACCAGAACGCAAGGCCATGTTTGGTGCACTTTAAATAGAGGTAAGAAATGGTTTTAAATCCCTTATACTGCCGCCGAGCATTTTAGCTTTATTTATTTCTGTTTATTTATCTATTTATTCTATTTATTATTATTTCTTTATTCTGTTGGCTATCGTAGTCCTGTGGCTAGCATTGGACAGCACATCACTAAATAATATGCATGTATAGAGTCTAAGATAGGAGTCATACACACTTTAAAGCTGTAGTCCGTAACTTTTGTTAATGAACAGAACTGCATGCGCGTGCAGATTGTAGCCAGAGCTACTTCTCCCTGTTTATATGACGAGTCACGCAGGAGTATACCAGTCTAAAATAGTCTGAATATAAACACTTATTATAGGTATTCTGTATTGATTCAGGATAAGGCAAAAACTTGGATAAGGCAAAAATTGATTCTTGATGCACTCGCTTATTTTTGTACATTTCAAACACACACAAAAGTTATGGACTGCAGCTTTAAGGGTTTTTATTTAAATTAAAACAGTAGTAAGGTTGTCTGCAGAGCATATGCATATGTTATAGAAGCTTAACTTTTTTTTCCAAAATGTAGGCCTTGTCTTTACTGGCAAACGATCCAGCACAGTTCCAAACTGCACTGAATTACCTCACCACAAGGCGGCGTTACTTTCCCTACTTCCACTGGACATGATGAACTAGAGAGCAGCTGTCCATTATCTTTCATTTTATAAAAAAGGCCGATTAAATTGACAGTTTGTTTATGACAGGCAGTATCAATAACCCTTTACAAAATGCAATAAAAAGAGGCAGCCACCATCCATTTTAGGTCTTAAGGATCAGTAAGTGTTTTTTAAATCTCAGTCTTAAATCTGAAGTTAGCAACGAACATTTACCTTGTAGTTACACTTCAGAATGATACTAAAACAGAAGAAAAACCTATTAAATGGGGTGACCTTAATCTCATGAGGAGACGTGGTTTCTGTCAAAGTGTTTAGCTAACACAACAGGCGAGTTTCCTGTAAACAAATCTTTCCTTAAACATTATTACTTTCATGATAGTCTGAAATTCCCTGGAAATTAAAAAAGCACCACTATTATCACTCTATAATTCATAATGGTGTACACAAGCACTACTTTAAAACTGAATCTGAATGTGTGTAAAAACAACAACAAACAACTTTTGAAAGGTTGTGTAGTTATAATATGGTGCAACTGATAAAAACCTGAACCCAATATCAACCAAGAAGTCATCACGGTTTAACAGTATCAAACAGTACAGTAAACCAATCCCAAAGATTCTTGAAAACCCTCCTCTACCCCCATGTCATTCACAGCCTCTGTTTCCACAATTAGTTTTGACAAAGGCAATGTTTATACTATATCTTACGACCCACGTCTGTTTAAAAGAGCAACTGTCTGTAACTTCAACACTCAACCTAACACGTGAAAATGGACGGCAGTCTCAACACTGAATCAGAGATTTCATTTCCAACTCCACCATTGGAAGACAATGAAAGGAAAGGAGAGAGCAGCAATAATGGCGAAGCTGCAGTTTCTTCAGCTCTGGAAAGAGAAGATGGAGATTCCTCACAACTGCCAACAATTAGCTCCAAGTTATTGAGAATGCTGGAGGCAGCGACCAACAGACGACCTGCGCTCGCCTCAATGCAGAACAGCGAGGAAGTGTTCGATGCAAATGATGGAGCGGTCAATGAAGCGCCAAGAACAAAAAGAGTAAGTGCTCCCGGGGCTGAATAAGAGTGCACAGAATTGGAGAGCCAAACACTTTACCCTGTAAGTTGTGCCAAGGTGACTGTCTGTGAAGGGACCTGGTTGGTAAATTTGGTAAATTTTCTGTTTTTAAACACTGGAAAGGCTAAACTTTGAATCTGAGAGCCATTAACTTCCCTATTTTATTGTATATGCAATTGGGGACGTTCTCTGCGAGACGCGAACTGGCTGTTTTATACCACACGAGGTATGAGTAAATGATTGGTAACCTAAATGTGGTGGATTTAAACCCTGGAAATTGAGTCGCCTAGTGTACACTTAGTTTATGCAATTGGGGACGTTCTCTGCAAGACGCGAACTGGCGGTTTTATACCACACAAGGTATGAGTAAATGATTGGTATTAACCTAAATATGGTGGATTTAAACCCTGGAAATTGAGTCGCCTACCTCCATTTTGCCCTTGAATGAGACACTTGACCCCAGGTTGTTCCAAAGGCACTGTCCCTTTAGAAAGTCAACACAATGTCATTTTGGATCAAACATGCCTGCCTGCTAAATGAAGTGTAACCAAATGAGCAGTTCTTGATCATCATTAACAACCCTGAACATAGGGCTGAACACAGACCAGTGCGCTTGACTTCACTCGGTAGCACTGGGCCAGAATTAATAAATGACTTGTAGGAACATTTGTGACCTAATCATTGTCAAATTGCGTGAGCTGGCAGAGAGAGAATCTGTTGTAAAGGCTTAGTTCTCACAGTGTAGGATTTCATCTGACAGTGGACTCATGCTTCTCTAGCCCGCTTATTACACATTATGGCACAACAATTGCTGTTGTGGTTCAGCCTTTAAATGCCTACGTGGGAGTTGTTCTACGCATTTCTCAAGCGGATTAGACACCATGAGGAAAGTCTACAGCCTGGTTAGTCTCAATAAAAACAGGGAATCAAAAGATGCTGTGTTATCTCTTAACTTCAAGGTATTTCTAAAATCTTTAGACAGAAGTTGCAGTTTGCTTTTTGTTAGAAGTGAGTCATGAGAAACTGATGCTTGTGGCCAATTTTTGTGATTTGTAGTAATGGGTCATTATGTATTGAGTGGTGTTATTGATTTGCAATCATTTACATTTCTAACCCTAGAGTGGAGATTTATTTTAGGCGCTCACTTTTTTTTCATTAACTAATATAGGTGATCAGAGTCAGCAATTTTGTTTAAATATAAATGCATTTTGCTAAACGACAAGACAAAGAACCTTAAACAAATGAATTAATATGATTTTGAGGTTGTTTAGTGTGTAAGTTAGTAAGCGAGTGATAGCTACTGAATAACTGGTCTCTATAAGATCTCTTGCCTGTACTTGAAACCATCTACGTTTCCGCACATGTAACGTGTCCTAATATTGCTACTTTTAGATATGAGTTTACTTTAAGATAAACAGTTTTAATGCTTTTGTTATTTTGAGAAATTTTCCGAAGATTTTGGTTCTCTGCTGGATGAATGGTTACATTTGCATTCAAATATTAGTATCTTTATATATATATATATATATAAAGTTGACAATACGGAGAAATCAAAATGTTTTGGAGTACTGCCGTTATGATTAGATTATATATGATTATATATGTATATATGAATAAATAAATACAAGATATACCAGTAATACATATTGTTTTTCCCTTAGCAAATGCAGTATCCTGAGCAGACGCGAGAATTCAGCAGTCGATTAACAAAGACGGGCCGTCGCTCACTGTCCCACTCTATTTCTCAATCCTCTACAGACAGCAACAGCTCAGGTAGATGCCGGCTAATTAAAACTGGAACATTTGAATGTTTTTAGTCATTCTTTGTATTTTCATCACAATCAGTGATTCCAGTTTCCTAAATTTTATTTCTCACTTTTTCAGGGGACTCAGATGCAGAAAATCTGGAAGAGGAAGACTCTCCTCGAGACAGGCTGCAGAGTAACTCCAAAGGGAACAGGGACTTCTGCGTCAAAAACATCAAGCTGGCAGACTATGGCCGCCAAGAGATAGAGCTCGCCGAGGATGGTAGGCATATATGATTAAACACATATATGCAACCAGCTATGTGAAACATAAATATAATTAATGTATGTGTGCTTTTATTTGTTGAAGAGATGACTGCACTTATGACCTTAAGAAAATCTGTTCAAGGAGAAAAACCATTGTCAGGGGCTAAAATAGTGGGATGTACCCATGTCACAGCCCAGACAGCTGTAAGTGTCATCTGCAATCTCTTCATATCATTTTGATTGCATATCATCCAGACAGAAAAAAACGAATACAAAGACAAAACCTTTTATACAAGATCAGCAGCACAAAAGAGTCACTATCGGTATCGGCCAATATAAGTACATTTTTAATGTTATAGTTATCGGCCCGATAATAAATGTTGGCCGATATATATATATATAAATTCAATATAAATTCCAACATAAATTCTATATAAATTCAGCTGAGACGCTTCAGATGCGAACTGCACCAATGTATCGGTTACTGACTTACAAATATAAAAAAAATATCGGTTATCGGTATATATATATAAATGCCATTCTTTTGAACATAAAAATATTAAGCAACACTGTTTTCAACATTGATAATAATACGTTTCTTGAGTAGCAAATCAGCACATTAAAAAGATTTCTGAAGGATCATGTGACACTGAAGACTGGAGTAATGATGCTGAAAATCACAAATTACATTTTAAAATATAATATTTTTTCTTGCCAACCCCAAATCTTTATATATTTCCCTCAACAGGTGCTGTTGGAGACTCTGATGGTGTTAGGGGCTCAGTGCAGGTGGGCAGCCTGTAATATTTACTCCACTCAGGATGAAGTGGCAGCTGCTTTAGCAGAGCAAGGTAAAACATAAACTCCTATTCTAATTGTCTAATAACAATGAATTCGACCTAAGTTCATTGTTCATTTTTGTGGTTGGCTTCTGCAAAGTTACTTTTTTACCTTTTTTGCTTTGTATCACGTCTTGTCCTCTGCTCTCCATGGCAGATTTTCCAGTTTTTGCATGGAAGGGAGAATCTGAGGATGACTTCTGGTGGTGTATTGATCACTGTGTAAATGTGGAGGGCTGGGAGCCAAACATGGTAGGATTCACTTTAATGATATGAGACCACTTTTAAGAATCAATGGTGTTATCTTCTCTTGTCTGTTTTCACCTGCAAATAGAAGTTTGTTAATGGCCTTTTTATTTCTTTAGATCCTCGACGATGGAGGAGATATGACACATTGGATTTACAAGAAATATCCTCACCTCCTCAAGAAGGTCAAGGGGATTGTTGAAGAAAGTATCACCGGCATTCACAGGTTGCGTCACTTTTTAAACCTAGTCATTTGTCACACATGTGGATTAAAAGGGACAATTGTCTTCAAAAAAGGTTATGTATATTCCATATGAAGGAGAAAACAGCCCCAAATTGACATGAATGAAATGAATAATGAAACTTACAGCTTTGCAAATGGTAAAAAACTTTTTTGCATCACATATATCAGGCTTCATCACCTCTCTAAAGCTGGAAAACTATGTGTGCCAGCCATAAATGTGAATGACTCTGTCACGAAACAGAAGTTTGACAACCTGTACTGCTGCAGGGAGTCAATTCTGGATAGGTAAGATGATGACACACACACACACACACTCTATATATATGGGCTGTCAAACGATTAATCGCATCCAAAATAAAAGTTTGTGTTTACATAATATATGTGAGTGCACTGTGTATAATTAGTTTGTACATGCATGTATATTTAAGAAAAAAAAATATTATTTATATGTAAAATATTTATATAAATAATATAAATGATATATAAATCTATATACAGAATATACATGAAAATATTTCTTAAATATATACAAGCATGTGTGTTATTTATATATAAAATAATTATACACAGTGCACCCACATATAATATATATATATATATATATGAAGAGTTCAGATGCAAAAGCCTCTAAATGCCATTTGAAATTTTCTTCTTTAATGATGATTTTTGTCAAACTTGTATATTCAAGTTCAGTAATTTCACTTAAATAACAATTAATAGGTAATTACCATTGCCATTTAAGTGAAATCACTGAACTTAAATATACAAGCTTGACATAAATCATCATTAAAGAAGAAAATTTCAAATGGCATTTAGAGGCTTTTGTATATATATAGTATATATCCAAAATTACTTAGAAATGTTAAATTATCATTATTTCAATTATTAAAGTCTACTTCTGTCTCATTCCTATACTCTCAGTCTTAAAAAGACCGCTGATGTAATGTTTGGGGGAAAGCAGGTGGCTATATGTGGATACGGAGAGGTACAGTTCCTGATTCACATAAATGATTGTTTCTATTGTCAATATGATACCTGATAACAATGCTTGTGACCTGCTGCATTAGTTTAGTATTGGCCTCTGTTTTGTGTGTGTAAATGTAAATATTGATGCCCACAGGTGGGAAAAGGTTGTTCTGCAGCTCTGAAAGCGATGGGATCTGTTGTGTATGTGACCGAAATCGACCCCATCTGTGCCCTACAAGCATGGTAAGCATTAGTTATTTAAAAAAAGCTTCCCAGAGAGTTAGCATGACATATTTTCCACAGTATCACACCTGACAGACAATTCTGTTTTGACTAGCATGGATGGCTTACGATTGGCCAAACTAGTTGATATTGTAAGCCAAGTGGACATCGTCATCACCTGCACAGGCAAGTTGCGCAATACCATAAATAAAACAATTCATAACTATGCTAGAAATGTTATTTGCTTTGATAACTAACTCTATACAGGAAACAAAAACGTTGTTTTGAGGGAACACATGGACCTAATGAAGAGTGGCTGCGTTGTCTGCAACATGGGACGCTCTAATACAGAAATCGATGTTGTAAGTGGCTGTAGGACCTGATAAAATCCACGATTAGTGATGACAATCGAATGCTTGTAATTTAATTTGCTTACATTTCTTGCCATTTGTATTATCTGTTTAATTTTCAGACTAGTCTGAGAACCCCAGAGTTAGCATGGCAGCATGTGAGAGCGCAAGTGGATCACATTATTTGGCCTGATGGAAAGAGAATTGTTCTTCTAGCTGAGGTGAATGAATACTATGAGAAATATAAAACAGATATCCATTTACCATTTAATGCAGATGTAAGCTGTCTCCAGTGAATGTGCGAGATTAAATTAAATAAATATAATTTATAACAACAAAACAAAAGTAAAGCTGTTTTTTTTTATTTTATATAATAAAACTATTTGTGCTACAAACCAATGTGTTTATAATTCCGATATTAAATTAAAATAATAAGCCTCGTACATTCAAGGGAAATTGCTGTGCCACTCTTACTATGTTAAAAATAAGGCGGATAATGCACTTAAGAACAACAAAGGATCTCCAAACATGCATAAATCATGTTTAGTAATCTACATTTTCTGGTTGCAACCCTCGTGGCATATTGGTCATTAACGTTAATGGCAAGGTTACTGTTTTACCCCGTTTGATTCCAGGGCCGTGTCCTTAATCTAAGCTCCTCCACTGTACCCATATTCATGCTTTCCATCACAGCCACCACACAGGTATGACACAGTTTGCTAACACATGAATTTAAATGAAGTTTTATAGCCTAAAGGCTCAAGTTCTTCCGCTCTTAGTTAGCCTAAACATTAAAGACTTGCTGGGCGAAACAATACAACCCTTTAAACTTAAGTACCTTTGTATTTAGTGCAACAGAATGTAATTGACATGGGAAAGTGTTGAGTTTCAAATTGTTTACAAGCTTAGTTTTCGGTCTACATTCTAGGCTTTGGCATTGATCGAGCTCTTTAATGCCCCTGGGGGCCGTTACAAGCAAGATGTCTACCTTCTTCCCAAGAAACTGGGTAAAAAATTCAATGGACATTGATTTCATGAAACATTGAATCATACTTGAATGAAAATGACATCTGATTCCCTATTTTGTATACTAGATGAGTATGTTGCAAGCCTGCATCTTCAAACATTTGACGCACACCTGACTGAACTCACCGACGATCAAGCTAAATACATGGGCTTGAACAAATACGGCCCCTTCAAACCGAGTTTCTACAGGTGATAAATTATTTGTATTAAATAATCTTAAATTATTGCAAAGAAATGGGAAATATTTAAAACCTGCTTTATGTTTTTCTGTGTTTAGGTATTAAGAACATAGAGGTGTCTCAATGTAACCAATCATCAGATTTAAAAGAAAACATGCATCTAAAGCTATGGTAACTCAGTAAAAATAGATTTGACTCGGCATGAATTTCATTCATCTCGGCTTGTGAGAGTGTACACATGTAAAGTGAACTATAACATTTTCCTTTTACTATTGTACTATGTAGGCTTGTGAGAATGTACACATGTAAAGTGAACTATAACATTTTCCTTTTACTATTGTACTATGTATATGACATTATCATCATCATTTTGACTAAATAAAAACATTTATTCACTTCAAAGTTTAAACAAGGGAACATAATATGCTACTAGAATGATATTTACCTTGCATGGTTCTCTAATGAAACACTGTATTCTGCCATAGTTTGAATAAAACCTGACCTTGCAAAATTAAACATTTAACAATATTTTTTTTAAAATACTGAACTTTACATTACACCAAAAAAAAAAAAAATGAAACTCAAACTGAGAGGAGGAAATTTAAAAAAAGGTTAACTCAGAAAGTCCAGAGAAGGGTAAACGGTACGAATTAGAAACCCATCCATTTATCTTCTCCAAAAGGAATTCACTTACATACCCAATGGCTTTCTGGGATGGGATTCTAGCGAGTTTTTCATCAAACTTCTAGTCACATCACTCTGCATCTTCGGTATGGAGAGAACAACTTCTGGACTTCAATCTTGAAGTAGGGAAAACATTTCCTCAATGCGCCTCTAGATGGAGGTAATGTAACTGTCCATAGGCAGAAGAGACATGGAACTGACAGACAAGCGAGGCAAAGAAGGACCTCCACTCTATCTTTTGTTTCTACTTGGTGCCCTAGTACTTTTAAAAAATCCCTATGATCTGTGCTTTCTGAAACCATGGCTATAAAGAGAGGTAAACCGAGTTATTCCATTCAGTGGCTTTCATTAGCTTCCAAAGTTTCCTGTTTCTATTACAAAATATAAGTCTCTTACAAAAAAACGAGTTTTACTTTACCACTGATAATAAGCAAAAGAGAAAGTTGGTTTATAAATAAGTCATACTTTTGTATAATATCACTCATATTTTATGAGATAGTGCTTGTATAAATTTAGAGAAATATGCAGGCCTATATGAATATTTATGAATGCCTTTAAAACGGCACATGCTTATTTTTAGCAATTTAGCATGTGTACATCTGACTAGAATGATTAAAAGGATCACCCAATTTTTTTTATTCCGCCATCATTGACTCATAAACCCGATCATGTTCTTAAAGACAATGATATGTTTGCTGTGTCTATATGCAGAACAATGTTATTTTGTTTGAAGTGTGTATGTGACATATTTTTGCATTGCTCCCCTGAGCTCTGATTGCATAGTTCGAGATGTCTCTGCCCTAAATATAGAGCTGGCTTTTCCCTACAATGTCAAATGTAACTTGATTCCATAAGTTGTCACAGCACGTCAGTTGCTGGCCTACCAGCTGAGTTCCTCTCACTCTGTCCCACATTGCCTGATGGAGTCTGTGGGAGCGCTGGACAGCCCCATTGGGGCCAGCTTTAACCTCCTGAGTTTGCCAGCAACCTTCCCCTCGGATGAGGATGAGGAGTCACTGGGTCTTGAAGGGATCAAGCCCAAATCTTCGCCCATACCAAGACGACGGAGTTCAGAATCCTCTGATGACTCCCCGCCTCCCGCTTCAAGCAGCCGAAGAGTGTCCTTTGCTGATGCCTTCGGTTTGAGTCTCGTCTCAGTGAAACAGTTTGACGCTCAGGGAGTAACTGCACCATCTGGCCCTCTGGAGAGTGACTTGAATGAAGATAAGGAGTATTATATTCTTCCTCTCTTCACTCTTCCGCAGAGCGTAGAGGAGCTAGACCTGCGGGTTCATGAGCAGAAGCTGGAACTGGAAAGTTTGGAGCTGCTTTCTGGGACTTCAACCCTAAGAGGAATCGTTTGCGTGCTAGATGTGTGTTTAGAAAAGATGGTCTATGTACGGACCTCTTTAGATTCATGGAGAAGTCATTTTGATCTGTTGGCAGAGTACGTACCTGGGTCAAACAAAAGTGGGATGGATTGTTTCTCCTTTAAGATCACACTGGTTCCCCCATTCGGAGACGAGGGCGCAAGGGTTGACTTCTGTTTGCGATATGACACACCTTTAGGCACTTTTTGGGCAAACAATAATGAAAAGAACTACTCTCTGTTTTGTTGTGAGAAAATAAAGGAGAAACCTCAAAATGTGTGTGAAAACAGAATAAGAAGCTGTCTGAAAACAACCAGGTAAGGGGTCTCCAAAAATGAAAATGTATAGACTGAAAATATTAAGTTGTTGCCTTAAATTTTTAAGTAAATTCAACTTGGATATTTAAGTCAGTTTCAACCTTAATTATGTTAAACTGACTTAAAAATTAGTTGGAACATGTAAAAAAAATTTAAACTTATTTTGATGAGTTAAAGCAATGTAAAACCATGTTATCACAACTCATTGATCTATCTAACTTGATAACTAAGAATTAATACATGAATAAAACTACAATAAAGGCGCACCCAATGAATTATTAAGGAACACCACTGGTTTCCCCCCAGTTCTTAAGCACATATATATATAATTTTTTACATCACTTATAATTTTGTTGTTGTTGTAATTTTCCAGCCCAAATGTTGCAGCAACAAATAATGAAGAATTTCCAGGTAACTGACCTCCTCAAAAATGACTTGAAACTAGATTTGGAAATACCGTAAAATTCTGATGAATAAATGTTATGTTTTCTCAGGTATAAATCTAAAGGTCACTAGCCCACAATCTCTAAACTCTGAAAAACATGAAAAGGAAAGCATTGAATTAGAGGTGAGTTATTTTTATAGTTCACCAAAGATTAATTCATAGTCACATAATGATGTTTATAATTATATAGCGACAACCAGGATTAACATTGTACATCCTGAACATTGTGACACGCTACTCTTTATGAATGTCATGTGGTCACTGATGACATTCACTTTTCAGGCGTTGACAAATGTGAGTAACTTGATAGGTCAGGCTGTTCAGGGTCACTCTGAGATCATCATGATACGTTGTTAAAAGTCAATGTCTCAGTCGATTTATCTTAGAAGTTGAAAACGTACTCCTAAGATCTTCAGACCTAAATTTTATTTATTGAAGATAGTCTTTCTTTCATTAAATTTCACATCTACCTCTTTGTAAACAGGAGGAAATAAGCCGAATCCGCAGCCGAAGGAGCAAAAGAAGGGCTGTGCGATTAGCAAAAGTCAAGAAGCACTTTGCTAAGAGAGAGACCAAGACCAAAGAGAGTGAAGTGACAGCAGAGACTAGCATGCAGGAACATGCATCAGTGCTGGAGAAGACATCATGTAGTCCAGACTCATCACAAACTGCTCAACCACCAACATGCAACCAAATATCACCCTCAGACGAGTCCTCAAAATTTGCGGAGGATAGTGGATATTCCGCTGACATTTACAGCCAAGCTCTTACACAAAATGAAGGCATGATCAACACCAAGACTAATTTATCCACAGCACACACACATTTACCCCTAGAAGACTGCGGTGAATCGATTGCATGCTCTGCTTCGGAGGCCTTGGAAGACGGCCAACTTACTGAGGACCTTACTGACCAAAAGGTTTCGATCCAACAGTCTTTTCCTGTATGCCAAAATCCTGACTTGCCTATCTGCAAGAAAGTTGAAAGAGCATGGGAGCACTTTGAGAAGGACACTAAGCAAAGAATTAAAGGTTTGAGCTCCAAGATGGACGAGGACACGAATATTAGCGCCAGAAAACCAGAAGAGAATGTGAGTTTGAAAACTACTAAGCCTCAGCCATTTTCTCATGGCTTTACATTTGGGACCATTGTAGCCCCGCTTTATCATCAGGTTTTTAAAAGCATGGAAACAGATAGAAAAGACTTATTTAGGAAAACTGTACAAGTAGATAAGTCATTAAGGGAGCTGGAGGATGAGAGTTTAACAGGGGTCACGGCCGCTGAGACCACAGACATGTGGCCAGAGTCTTGCCTTTCTACAAAACAGACAGTACATGATATTAGTGTTGGCGTCTGCAAAGAATCAGCAGAACAAAACTCACAACTTACAATAAACCCAACCAAAAATCCTCTTTCTGAGCCAAATAAGTGCACACCAGACCATACATTTACCGAAACAAGTCTTCCAGAAGTTGCATCCGAACAGCCAGATCTTCCTCTAGGTAAAATTGTACCATCGACTGAATTCTCATTCCAGGGTGATCTTTGCCAAAGTCCATGTTTATTTCCCCTACAAGGATCAGAACTTTTAGTCTCTACAAATCAAACAATAGAGTCCGGTATTGACATCCAACCTAAACAGATCCATCCTTCATCACCCATAGCAGTGCCTTCATTATCTGTAGACAATCAAATTTCTAGTATTAAAATTGAAATGTCACAAAACCAAGGGGATATCCACACCAATGAGGAGAATATATTAGTGCGAACAAGGTATTCAAACAGCCCCTCTTGGATTCTTGCCCAATCTCCAGAAGACCCCATGACGCTCCCTACTTCAGGGATCATCTTAGGTTCCTCTGATGATAAATCAGAGCCGGATTGCTGTGAGATGAGATTGAACATTGAAAAACCTGAAGAACCGTCTCACTTATGTGAACCATATGCAGAATTGGGGAACACACGGGTAAATATGAGCAATACTTCGGAGAGCTGTCAAATGAATGAAAAGAAGGAACAAATGCTCGTCGGGTTTGCTTTACAGACTTCCGAGACAGAGAGCTCAAGCATGATTGAGTTTGATGGAGAACATAACACATTAGTGATTAAAGAAGAAATTCAAGACATGAAAAATTATGAAAGCTTAGATGAGGGAACTGGAAATCAAACAAAGCAGATAGAGAAGCTGGAACAAGAACCAAAAGAACAAGAAGGTGCAGGAGAAGGGGGAATGAACATTGAAGATGAGTTGAAATACATAGATGATGAAGAGGACTTGGATGCAATGGAAACTGAGAGAGAAAAGACACAACAAGCAGATGAAGATGATTTACTGACTGTTACTGAAAGAGATTCTGAGGAGCAGAAGCAGATTATTAGTACCAGCAATGTTAAATCATTGCCACATCACATTGACTTCAATGAAATAGAAGATCTAGGTGGAGTTGAGGACTCAGAAAAACAGGATAGGCACTTTAACAGTGGAGTAGAGATTTGTGAGGAATCTTGGCAAGAATCATCTCCAACGAGTGATACTGAACTCAGTGGAAGTGTGCGAGCTATGGAAAAGGATTGGGACGTCATTGAGTTTATTGATAAAGAAGAGAGTATGTGCCGTGGAAGTGAGAACAGTGACCGGGACACTACTGATGATGTGAACAATATGCTGGAAAACATGGATTGCCAGGCGAAAGACTCAATGATCAGAGATCTTGAAAATGTTGACGACAACACCTCAACAGAATCGCAGATTGATGATGAGATGGAGCTGTACTTGATCAGCCTGAGGAATTCACAGCAGTCAGTATTCAGAGAAGGCACAATGAGTGGAAGTTATGGCAAAAGACCTTCAATGAGTAAAGGAAGGCCGTTAGCTATGCCTTCAATCTCGGAGTCTGTGGACGAGGACCAGTCGAATAGTTCCCTAGAAGATTTAACAAATATTGAGTACATTATGGAGCAGGAAAGAGCTACGCAAGTCATTGCCCGTAATGTCTTGTGGTGGAAAGAGTTTCTGTCCTATGATAATATGATAAGGGTGATCGGATATACATTTTTGTTGATAGTGTTTTTGGTTGCTGCATTTTATTATGACTTCATCGCATGTTTTGCCCTATATGTTCTTACAGTGTATTGGCTGTTTCGACAAGGGGAGGAAGAGACACTGAAAAACCCTGAAAGAGGATTACAGTAAATGTGATTTACTCATGAAGATTTTGGGATAGTTTAGCAGAAGTGAAAGTGGAACTGAATACATGATGTAAGAATACAATTGAAAGCATTGGATTCCGTGGAGGTACAGTATTTATCGCACATATTTTCGTAATGGCAAAAACGTGATTTTATTTGATGGCAGACTTTTGTTGACAGTATCTGAGTCCGGCTGTATGGGCAATATGTTTGCATACAATATAACAATTCTCTTAACACAGAGCTGATCATACAGCAAGGGATTAAAGAGGGTTAATATGTGTAGTCATGGTTGGATTATGTGCTAATGGTGCCTGGTACAGTGATGTTTAAAGGACCACTGGGTGAGTGAAGAGTTCAATTTTGACATATTATAGACGATTAGTCTTGAAAAAGCATTATATTGAAATTTAATTAGGTTTCATTTCATAGAAAGTACCTGGATTGCAATTGATCTATACATTTAACACATACAAAGCAGTAAAAATGTATTTTTTTTTTACTTCAGGCAAAAGAACAACTGATAAAATCTAGCACAAGGTCAAAATCTGTCTGATTCGAAATGATACAAAGTAATTCATTTTTCTGTTGCAATTATTTTACAAACATTTTCCCATACATAGCCGCACAAGTTTAGTAGAGTTCAAAAATGATTATGTGTTTCATTACATGTCAGCTTGTTTGTTTACAGTCATAAACTATTTGACACTACTTTCCAAAAAAGACATCAAGGGTTGTTATCCTCCTTTATGTTTCAATGGTCTTATCATCTCCAAACTGACCAGCGTTTGTTTCATAAATACAGATATAGACACAGGTGTCTATAGGCTACTCACAATCAATAAACCATGTAAAATAAACAATAGCTTCCATCATTTCATTATTGTGTACTAAAAATAGATAACATGTATGGATTCATCTGTTTGTGTATTGTTTATAAATTTATTTTGCAATTCAAAAATAATTATTCATTTTTATTGCAATTCAATATTTTGCACCATGTTATTATTTTAAGTTGTCTTTATCTTGGTGAACATCATTCACTGAAATGGCTTTCATTGAACAAACAGATCGTCTCCAGGTAATATGCAATTCACAGAAATAAATCTGACCACAGATCTCCCCTAAATAGACTAATTTTTTTAGCTGCATATATTTTGATTAATGTTTCATTTGTTTTTGAGCGAGTCTAGAGGTCTAAAATATCATAAAACCCTTACCCAACCTAACAATTTTTCAAGATATATTTTATGTTCCACAGAGGAAAGAATACGATAACATTTTATTTCGATAGTCCACTTTAGACATAACTATAAGTAACTTTAATAATATTAAATAATATTTATACAAATATTTTAATATAAAAGTATAATAATATAATTGTTAATAATAATCACATGATTAGTATTATCATTTATATGTAAGTTAAACTTTCAGAGCACAGAGGCGTTTCATGTTAGAGTTCACAGATTGGCCGTGCGCTTCCGTCACGTTCGCTGGAGAGGCGCAATCAGGCGGCGCGTTGTTGCGGAGTGCGCGTGCGTGCTGACGGACTGACGGAGCCGGTGCGCCGGTAGTGTCAGTGCTGTATTATGGACCTGCAGAGCAGCGCTGAGGCAGACCTGGATCCCTCCGAGTACCACCCCGGCTCTGTCCCCATGGGGCTGCAGTCCAGGAAGCAGGAGCAGGAGAAGCTCTCGGGGTTGGTGAAGAGCGTGCACAGAAAACTCCGCAGGAAATACATTGAAGGTATTGGCTGCGAATGAGATGCGTAGCTGTGTAGCCTAGCCTAGATCAGTGTCTGTAGTCTGGCCTGAGCAGAGACGCGGATATTTTAACGCTTGGATTACAACCGTGACGCTACGAGAGCAAAAAACGTTATTTTATTTTAAACGTGCGTTGCATCCCTGTTGACATGAACTGATTTTATACAAGGCTCGTTTTTGGCTGTGTCTGAAAACCTAGTGAGCTAACGTACATATAGCTTCCATACGTAACATAAACATTCGAATAGAACGTTCTAAACGCCCGTACTGTTTAGCTAGGCAGCACGTACGGTATTGAAACAGGTTCTGTCTGTCTGTCTGTCTGTCTGCAGCACTTTAGACTAGTCAGCAAAATTGTGCAGGGTCGTTCATCTGTTCCTGTTTTGCACTTCATTGATATGATGACTGTGTTTGAAAGCATAAACAACTTGAACGTACAGACGACACATTTGCCTCTCTAAAATCTTTAACCTCTTCCCTGTCAATTATTTATCAATGTAACGTTACTATTTGTATTATGATTCAAAGCACTTATGCATAATGGACAACATTTGACCTATTTTAAGTGTGTCAATCTGCTGGGACAGGCTTAATAAGTATAAATAGGATGAGGTTTTAAGAAAAACCACTTGATTAATGGATGAAAATATTACATGTACTAATTAAACGAAAGGGTAGGTAGCAACAGATTTGGGAGAGTTAGATCTGTTGTACCTGTTTCGGTTTCAGTGTGACAACGCCACTTTTATAATGAGTACTTATGGTGTAAAGCTGGATTTTTTCGTGTTTTTTGTTGTAATCTACCTTTCCCCTCAGTTGACGTATACATTTGCCACCCTTCTTTGCCATTTAATGTTTATTTCAAGAAAATATCAATACTACTCATATTTATATTTAATCACATTTTAAACAGTTGTGACAATACAGTTTCTGTAACAGGTTAGTAAGCATTGCAAATCCTTTTGAAAACTAATCTAAAATAAAATTAATAATATATAGTTTAAACTCCCAAAAGGGTTTCTGAAGATTAAACAGATGGTTCACCCCCCCCAAAAATGAAATTGTTGTTCAAAACCTGAATGACTTTCTTTTTTTGTTGTGTGGAACAAACAATATTCTGAATGTTTGTTATTATTGACCACAATAATACTGACCACTGATACATTTCTCAAAATACCTTCTTTTATGTTGCACAGAAGAGAGAAAGTCAGACAGGTTTGGAATGTCATGAGGGTTTTTCTCATTTTTGGGTGAACTATCCCGTCAAGCACCTCCTGTCACTGACAATTAAAAAAATCCATTAAAAAATACAAAAACAAGCCATATTTCAGGCCATATTTTGTACCCAATTCGTGGAAGTGCCTCCTACTATGTTTTCTAGTTAAGCCCCACTCCCTAAAAATGAATGCACGTTTCTGTGAAAATATTATCTTGAGAAAATGTATTGATAGACCTGAAGTAATTCATTGTGAGGATGTAGTTACATTTCATGTTCCCGTCTTATGCTGCAATGAGCATTATTCAAAAAGGTTATCATCCCCATCATCAGGTTATGACATAGTAGAGAGTAGGAGGAGGTTATGAAATGTTATATTTTTCCCTGCAATCAGTTCCACAGGAAGCAGAACCTGATGTAGCGCACCACAATCTTCTTATACTATCCGACTTTAAAATGGTTGTTGAGTTTTTTATCGAATCTCCCTCGGTTTCCCCCGAGAGGGATGAGCAGTGCTATAAATCCCACACACAGTAGTCTATTCACTAGACCCCGTGATGGGTTAATAAGGAAGGCGTGATCTGGTCTTCTTGGCATTGGACAGCAGTATTCATATGTAACGACGCTGCAGTATCTTCCCTTGTTTGTCTTATTCTCTGTAAATCTAATAAAGCCCTGTATTTTCCACTCTTTCATGGGACGGCTCACTTTTGTCAGTTCTTTCCCCCCAAAGCAGTCTTTTTGGGTAGTGGTTGCCTTCTGGTGTCATTGTCGTTATCAGCAAGTTTTTGAACTGTGTGTGACTGTGAATCAGCACAAACACTTTGATGAGACAGTACTTTTGAGCTTGGCTTGGAGTTTTTGAAGAAACCCGACAGTGTTTTGTGAGCCGCTGGAGGCTAAGGGTTAGAGAAACCACTGACGTCAGCTGACTTCAGAAAGTAAGCTTTGTAAGAATGTTTACACTAGTTATGCTGTGCGGAACGATCAACCCTGTGGCATGATTGTACACTTCTCTGTTTTGTCTCTTTGAATGCAGTGGGAGATTTCGAGAAAATATGGCGCGAGCATTGTGAAGACGAGCAGACTCTCAGCGAGTATGCCATGGCCATGAAGAACCTGGCCGACAACCACTGGGCGAATAAATGCGAGGGCGAGGGACGCATCGAGTGGTGCCGCAGGTACGGCTGTTGTTGATGGTCATTGTTTTTTGTCGAGAAGCCAATTTGGTACTTTTTAGGGCTTTTCACATTTGAAATAGTGAACCCTAGGTCATTCTTAACCATCCTGGGTTATCTTGCTACACGTTTCACATTGCTCAGAATTTACCTGGGGTTCACAATGAATACTGGGTTTCACACTTAACCTTCCTAAACCCTGAGTTAATATCTTTATTTGCATATTTACGGTGTCAGTGTCTTTGATTGGATGAATGCAGTATGTGACTTGTTTACATAATAAAGGAGGAGTTCACGTTTAAAAAAAACTTTTGCTGATAATTTAGTCACCCCCATGTCATCCAAGATGTCCGTGTCTTTCAATCTTCAGTCGAAAAGAAATTAAGGTTTTTGATGAAAACATTCTGGGATTTTTCTCCATATAATGGACTTCAATGGAAACCAAACGGTTCAAGGTCCAAAAGACAGTTTTTAGTGCAAACTGTTCAAAGGGCTTTAAACGATTCGAAACGAACGATCAAGCGAAACGATCGCTCATTTAATAAATAAATAACAAAGTTTAAGTTTTATAAGCTCAAATGCTCGCCTTGCTCTGTTCTGTGATGCGCTTTCGTGACTCTCCTGTTCGAACTCGTTCATTTTGTTCGTTGAATCAACCAAATGACACGAAAAAAGATTTGTTCATTTTGATGAACGAGTTCGAACAGGAGAGTCATGAACGCACATCACAGAACCAAGCAAGGCGACCATTTGAGCTTATAAAACTTTGTTATTTTTGTTTTTAAATGAGCGATCATTTAGTTTGATAAGACCCTTATTCATCGTCTGGAGTCGTTTAAAGCGCTTTGAACAGTTTGCAGTTTGCACTGAAACTGTCTTTTGGACCTTGAACCCGTTGGTTCCCATTGAAGTCCATTAAATGGAGAAAAATTCTGGAATGTTTTCATCAAAAACCTTCATTTCTTTTTCGACTGAAGAAAGAAAGACATGGACATCTTGGATGACAGGGGCGTCGAAAATAGAAACGGCTGTTTTTAAAACAAGCTGTGTTTTCCTGACGATTTGGTTGTCGGTCGCACTCACAATAAAACTTTATCAGGCACGTCTACGCCACAGTGAGATGAAAAATTCTCAACTTTTAAGAATGCCGCAAGTGCACCGCAAGTCATGTGACAAGAACCAACCAATCAGCTTCAACCTTTCGGTAACATCATTGAAAGCTCAGGCAAGATGGAAGAAACCCCCCAATAAAATGGTTTCTCTCTTCTCCATAAATAAATCTAGTAGCAGAGCTTCTGCAAGGGATTTTCTGTCTGGATATCTATCCATTTATTTGCTTGTTAAATCTCTCTTGCCACAGTGTTTGTCAGGAGTACTTCCAGGATGGAGGGATGAGGCGAGTGCTGGAGAAGGATGAGAAGAGCACTAAGCACGCCACAGCTGAAAATAACACATCTGCAAACTCTCTACCACAATCGTCCTCTCCAAGGTGACAACCTTACCACTGCGAATCCACAAAGATTTTCTACATTAGTTCATTGACTAAATCCTCTCATTTATCCTTAGTAACCACTCAGCGTTCCAGCTTGGGAGGATACGACTGTTGGATGTGGGCAGCTGTTTCAATCCCTTCCTGAAGTTTGATGAGTTTCTGACTGTCGGTATCGACATTGTGCCAGCAGTTGAGGTTTGTGTTTCTTCAAGTTATATGAGACTATAGACCTCTTTTTTAGAAAACGGATGTCACGTCTGTCTAACAGATTTTTTTCTCAGCAAATTAAATATGGCGTCTACCCTAACTAAAGTTTAGTGATTCAATTATTGGTTAAATTACGTGTTCTTTACCGTTGTTTTCTTACAATTTATCTATACTGGATGCAGCCTGATAGCAAATCCTTGTTCTTCATATGTTGTACATCAGGAATAGAACAGGGCTTCAGTTTAATGTTTACATTTACATTTATTCATTTAGCTGACGTTTTTATCCAAAGCGACTTACAATTGCTATATATATGTCAGAGGTCGCACGCCTCTGGAGCAACTAGGGTTTAAGTGTCTCACTCAGGGACACATTGGTGTCTTACAATGGATTCGAACTAGAGCCAGACCGATATATCGGCAGACCGATATTAGGCATTTTCCAAACTATCGGTATCGGCAGTTATAATGGCCGATAAATGAATATTTCAAAAATAAAATAAAAACGGATAAAAAACGCTCGAACCATCTCATGAGTGTTGGAGTTGTATAGTTTGTCCACCAGAGGGCACTCTACACGGTTCCTGTTGGCAACACGCGTTGAGTTGGTCACGATACATACATTGCTTGAATGACAATTAAAAGAACATCCCCATCAGTTTTCTTAACTCAAATAAGCATGACAATTTGAATTTGAAATTTGTGACTATCATGTCCAGTTTCAAAAAAATTAATAAATAAAATATCGGCCGATATATCGGATTTTAAAACCCAAAAATATTTGTATCGGTCTTCAAAATCCTTTATCGGTCGGGCTCTAATTCGAACCCGGGTCTCACACACCAAAGGCATGTGTCGTATCCACAGTGCCATTACCACCCATGTTGGGAATTAGGCTGCTATTTTTTTTTTTTAAATCCAACATGTATATGAAGAGTAGGTAAGAGTTTACTAGATTTGTATAAGATTTTTTTTTTGCCATTGACCCTTATACTAATTTGATCTATCCTGCATAGTAAAGCGAAACGTTCTGATCCTCCTTTCCCCATTTGTCCTTTTTATGGCTACAGAGCGTCTACAAATGCGACTTTCTGAACCTGCAGCTGCAGCAGCCTCTGCAACTGGCCAGCGACGCCTTGGATGCCTTCCTGCGGCATCTGCGCGGCCCCATCGACGCTTTACCTGCCCAGCTGTTTCACGTGGTGGTCTTCTCCCTGCTTCTCTCCTACTTCCCTTCACCCTATCAGCGCTGGCTCTGCTGCAAGAAAGCGCATGAACTTCTGACCTTGAACGGCCTCCTCCTCATCATCACGCCTGACTCCTCCCACCAGGGCCGGCATGCGCTCATGATGCGTAGCTGGCGAGTTGCAGTGGAGTCTCTGGGCTTCAAGCGCTACAAATATGTCAAGTTCTCCCACATGCACCTGATCGCTTTCCGCAAGGTGTCGTCCACCACCAGCAGCGACCTGGTCAGCCGCAACTACCCGGAGATGCTTTACATCCCGCAGGACTTTAACACGATCGACGAGGAGGGGTTCACAGATTGCTACGAGCCTCCGCGCTCTGATTTCGAGGACGACATGTTGGCGTGTAGCTTCGCGGAATTGCCGGACACGCCGTACGATTCGGACTCGGGCGAGAGCCAGAGCTTCCACGAGCTGGAAGACCCCATTTTGCTCCAGAGCTGAACTTGTTTACTGCCCCTGTTGATATTTAGTACCTTACCATCATGCTGCCAAAATTGCTCTGCTGTTTGTGCACTCGACCCCTTTTTAAGCAGCAAAAAATTTGCACAGAGTGAATGAGGACGTTTAAGTGGGCGTTGATTTTTAAGAGCGTGCAAGACATCTCTTTGAACACAAATATACACACTAAATAATCTTAACTTAGAAATAGAAGTGATTTGGTTTTGTAACAGAAGCAGCTGCGTGATATCAGGTTGAGGACGATTTAGCTCATCCGCTTTGGCTGTTTTCTCACTCAGAATGACAAACATTTCCGTGCTAGCTTAGGCGTAGTTATCACCGGTGTCATATTTTTGGCCGGAGTTACTATACTGTGTTATTCTTTTTCAGTTGTGTTTCTTGAAGGGATAGTTCCGGCAAAATAGAAAATATTAATTCTCGTTTTGTTCCAAACCAGTGACTGTATTATGTCCACACAATGAATGTCAATGGGGTCCAAAACAATGTTGTTTTTGGACCCCATTGACTTTTATTGTAAAGACAAAACCAGTTCTTTAACATTAACGTAACAGAAGTCATACAGGTTTGGAACAACATGATGGTGAGTAAATGACAAAAAACATTGTGAACTAACCCTTTAATGGTTTGATTCTCAGCAAGATTCCACTGGATAATTTGGATGGAGATTTCAGCCAACTGTTCAACCAACTTTTTGAAATAGTCTTTATCAATGATATTTGTAGCATTTTAGGTGTCTGCAGAACTTGTGCGTGTTTGGTTATGTGACGTTGTAACTGTGAATGTGGATTTCTCGCTTCAACAAGGTACAAATCAAGCGAAGTAGTCGTAGATTTTCAGAACAAACAATCTTACAGGTGACCAGATTGGATGCATGGGTTGTGGTAACATGTTTCTAATCTTGCGATCAAACCGCTAGTACTATCCAATAACTTGTCAGTAGTATGTAGTGTGGAACAGATTAGAGTTTTGTGCATTTTGCCATAATGTGACTTTGAGTAGGATGATTGTTTACTCTTGACTGTTTACTCTCGAAACCTTCAGTTGCTTTAAATCCTCTTTCTGTATTGTAATCTGGTGTATAATATCTAATTGAGTTATTTTAGCTTCCCACTTTCGATTATAAAATAGAACTTTTAAGGTACAAAAGTCTGGAAAGTACTTTGCCAAACAGTTTATTGGAAGTACTATCAAAAGATTGTTGCATATCACTGTATGTTTTTAGCTCTTGTGTTTGTAATTGCAGAATTTGCTGGTTTTTTATTCACGCCAGGTTCTTAAAAACACTATATTAAATGTCCAAGCACATATTTGCACGTTTTCGATTACACCTTCCGTAGGGTTGGCAAAATATCGAGATTGGCATCAGCACTTCATTAGAATAGCAATACGTTCATAATCATAAATGGTCAAAAATGCCCCATATCACTATAACCTGGTAGTTATATTGACTAACTGATGTTAGGCACTGTTTTTTCTATTGTATCAATGTGGTTACCGATTGGTTAACCTGATGATATGAGAATATGCTGTGATGGGTCTTTACTCCTGAAGAAGTGTGATGAGATGTACATTGAAGTATCAATGTGAAGTTTTGGTGTTGGGCACTTTAAATGTGTTTTGGGGTGCCAAATATGAGTGTGGAAAGATTTAAAACGGGAAATTAAATCGGTATGTGATCTTTCAGGGTATCAGAAAAAAAAAATCCTCTCAAGGTGCCTTCAAACCCAAATTGTATTTTTGCATTTGTGATTATATGGAGTGGATGCAAGAACAGGCTACTGATTGTCATTTGAAAGTAAGCTAATTTTCTGTCCCACAATAAACAGTTACAGTACATACTTTCAGCGAATTAACCAGCTCCTAGATAAATTACTAACAATACTGCCCTATTAGCAATAGCGTATAAAGGTGTTCTTTAGTCTGTACTCGATTTATACTGTAAGTCAGAGAAAAAATATTTTAAAACTATTGGAAAAAAACAATCTTTGTATTAAAATGTTTACTTGGTGTGTTCAAACATTCACATATCAAACATATTTGTCTTCCCCATCCATTGTTTGCATGATTGATTTTCTTTATCAGTGTTAAGATGGTTGACTCCTACAGGAACGGGCTGTTTGTGAGAACTATTGTCATTCATCTTTTATAAATAAAGGTTTTTGTTGCCTTCTCTCGGGTGGTCTTTCATTTGCCTGTGGCAGGTTGCCTTAAATATTTGTCATGTAGGATCATATGCATTTAATTTCTGACAGAATACATTTTAAATATTGATTGTAGTGCGATTTCATTCCAGTTCTCAAATAAGTTACACTACTGCTCAAATGTCAGTAAGATAAAAAAGGAATACTTTTACTCTGCAAGGTTCCATTAAATTGATCAAAAGTGGCAGTAAAGTCATTTCTAATGTTACAAGAGATTGTTTATTTCAAATAAATAGTGTTCTTTCTATTTTTTTAAATCAGAGAATCCTGAAAAGTATCATATTTTTTATAAAGAATTATTAAGCAAAACTGATATCGATGTTTCTTGAGCAGCAAATCATAACGATTTCTGAAGGATCACGTGATACTTCATTCACCCTCGTTGGTTTCACTGCGAGGATGATGGACACTTTTGTCCTGTCAGAGATTCCGTAGCGGCTTAAAACCGATGTACAAATATGGCGGATGCTGGGTGAAGTTTTGACGATGGTTCGAGTATGTTTTGCGACAAATTACCCCAGTTTCAGTTGTTTTTCTGCTAACGACATAACTAATGACTTGCATATCTGCTGTCGTGTTTCTTTAGCTTTCATTTAATCGCTTTTACTCTCCTCATGTAGAGAAACAACACATTCAGGCAACTTTCTGATGCCGGTAAATAGACTGGAATCTGCTCGCCTAATTCAGACTGACAGCACATTAAAACTGTTCCGCTCTTATATTTATTTTATTTTATAGCCTTCAAGCAGTTTAAAATGTTCACATCTATTCCACGTCTTAGTTTTAGTCATCATAACATGACCTGGAGTTGAATAGCTCGGTTTATTCAGCAGTAACAGGTGATTGTTAATCCACTTTCTGATTGTAGATGCTACTTTGACGTTTGACCTAAAATGTCTCGATTTAGTACCTCAAATCCACACCACAACATGTTCTTACATCCGTTTTGAAGAATGGTAATGCCACTAATATTTTTTTGCCATTGTGACGTATAACTTACGTCACTCGCGACGCTAATTTTTTCTGTATTTGTGGGAGTTTTAACTCTGCAGCGATGTGCAAGCTGCTCAAGTATTTCTTGAGCCACTTCCTTTACGCTGCGATGACCCAGCTGGATGAAGCCAACAAAGGGGTCAGCACATGGTCATCCATCCGTTACCTCGGTTATCTGTCCAGTCTGACCTCCCTGGTGGCCATTTGCCTGGGGATTTATGTACAATGGGAGAAAACCGCAGACACTATCATCTTGGTCATTTTTATTTTGGGCCTCTTTGTTCTTGGGATTGCCTGCATTCTCCACTATTATTTCGGCATGGAGAGCGTCAGCCTCTTTCTGTTGCATCTGTGGTTTGGTTTCCTTCTGGGTTTATTGTGCTTCATCAGTGTCCCGTCCAAAGAGCTTGATATCAAGGAACAGGTGGCCAACTGTATGTTAATAGCGAGCATGGTTATACGAATCCTTTGGGCATTGGTTGAAAGAATGTGCGGTTATACTCGACATCAACCCGCTTTCCTCACCTCGAGGGAAGCTCTGGAGCTCATAGGCTTCGCTGTGGCCAGCACGACCCTGGTCGGCAACAAATTTATAAGCCTTGTAGTCCTGACACTCGCTTTGGCTGCTGTAATCGTGGACTTGCGCATGAAGTCCTTCTTGGCCTTCCTAAACCTGGCCTGCTTCTCCGGGATCGCTGCATTCTTCTTCGAGGAGACTTTGGGAATGTTCACCAACCCCTTCGCCCTGTCTTGCTTCTTCAGCCGCCTCGTCTGCGACCCATTCCTGGACGTCTACTTCAGTGGGCTTTCGGTCACTGAACGCTGGTCACCACTCCTGTCGAGAAGAGGCCTGTGGAGACACTTAACTCTTCTTCCTCTGGTTATCGTCGAGGTGATGTTTCTGGTCATCGCCGCTCTGAAGATGAGAGATCTGGATCGGTGGTACCTGCTCATCCCGGGTCTCTCAGCATTCACTATTTTCTGGATCATCTGCCACCTGGTTTTCCTCGTCACGCTGTGGGGTTTTCACAGTAAGCTGAGTGACTGTCAGAGGATGTGCATGGTGCACACATCAGAGGCTGGAGAACTGGACAGGGTCATGGCGTCTAAGGGGATGCGGCACTTCTGCCTCATCTCAAAACACCTGGTGCTCTTCAGCCTGATGTCCACCATCATACTGGGGGCTCTGGGTTGGCAGGTAATATTTGCTGTGAAAATCTTTTAAAAATGTATGTGCCAAGTTCTTAGAAATGTAGTTCTTGTATTTATGTTGGTTTCATGTGTGTTGTTTAACGTCTCTTGAAAATTATATTGAAAACATTTCATATAATGCCTCTAAAAACTTAATAACATATTTCCCTTACACCTTGAATGCATGTGGGTGAAGCTCGTTACTTTCAATAAAGTTTTAAAAATATTTTAAGGTACATATAATTTATTATTTATTTATTATTATTTAAACATCCTCATTTAAAAAAAATATTATTTAATAAATATGATACATTCTTTTTGGAAGTGACAAGTCACATCACATGGCATTTGGTTTATAAGAGCCTACTAGTGAATCAATTATTGATAAGTGGTAATGCAATTTTGTTAAATATATATTTTATTTCAAAGAAATTTTAATTTAAAATTTTGCAATCAAAGTCATTTTAAGTAATTTAAAAAAATACATTTTAATTCAGAAACTAAAACAAGCTTGTCTTAAAGTGTCTTAAGTAATACAGTAATATTGTGAAAAATTGTTACAATTTAAAATAACTTTTTTTCTATTTTACAATATTTAATGTAATTTATTCCTGTAATGGAAAACTGATTTTCAGCATCATTACTCCAGTCTTCAGTGTCACATGGTCCTTCAAAAATCATTCAATATATAGATTTGCAGTTCATATTATTATATTATAATAATTATTATTATTTTGCTATATTTATAGTCAATGTTGAAAATATTTCTGGAACCAATTTAATCCATAATTGCTGAATAAAAGTCTTAAAATATTTCAATTATTATTAAGAATAAAAGTAGTAAAAAAGCTTCCTGACCTCAAACTTTTGATTTGTATGTTTAATAAAATAATACAATTGTGGACATTGTGTCATTAACCCATTTCATACATTCAGTGGCTCATCATACTGCAAAACATTTTGTAAGTTTGCTTTGTCAAAATATCTGCCTTAAAATAAGAACATTGATTTTCTTTGGAAGTCTTAAATGTAATTTTCCCCCTCCTACAGCCGTCCAACAGTCTGTTTATTGCCTTGTTTCTGCTGGTCCTGCCTCTTGAATCACTAGCCCATGGCCTCTTCCATGAGCTGGGAAACAGTCTTGGTGGAACCTGTGTCGGTTATGCTGTGGTGATTCCTACCAACTATTGCAGGTACTGTCCAAATATACATTGACATTGAATACTTATGCTACTTGATTACTCAGTAACTTGCACAGAGGGTCAGTGTTTTACTTCGTCCTCTCTTTCTCTCTCTCAGCCCAGATGGTCAGCCCACACTCCTGCCCCCGGCGCATGTGCACGAGCTCAACTTGCGATCCACAGGGATGCTAAACAACGTGCAACGCTTCTTCTCTCATCACATGATTGAGACCTACGGTTGTGATTATTCCACAAGCGGCTTGTGTCTGGAAGCCCTGCAAGCCAAGCTCCGCATATTCATGGAGGCGCACACGGCTGACGGCCCACGACACGACACCTACGTGCTCTACTATAGTGGTCACACCCACCGCAGTGGAGAGTGGGCTCTAGCAGGTGGGCCAATCATTTACATCACTTTTTACCAGTAGAAACAGACATCTGGGGGAATCTCACAAGTTCTGACTCAAGAACAATCACCTGTAGTCCAAAATTTTTTTTTAAATAAAATCTAATATTGACCGCATTTTCCTTCAATTCTCATTACCGTAATAGTTTTTTTAAATGATTAATATTAGTGTATTTGAAAATTAATTATATTTTATTTTTATGTCTTTAATTTAAATGTAAAAAATCACTATAACCTATCCTTTTGTTTTTTAAAGGTACGGTATTATAGTACTGAAAATAAATTAGGATATGTGATGAGAAACATTTGTATATGTATATATTAGAATCAGAAAAAAGTATTACAGCAAATATAACCATGATGTTTAAACATTTTGCAATTTAAACAAAAAAAAGTATATTTTTAAATAAGAAAAAAATTGGCTTAATTGTGTATATAGATTGATATATATATATATATATATATATATATATATATATATATATATGAAGACTTCAGATGCAAAAGCCTCTAAGTGCCATCTGAAATTTTCTTCTAGAGTGATAATTTTTATCAAGCTTGTATGGTTATGTTTAGTTATTTCACTTTAATGGCAATGAAAATTACCTATTGATCATCATTTAAGTGAAATTACTGAACCTAAATATACGAGCTTGATAAAAATTCAAATTTTAGAAGGAAATTTCAGATAGCACTTAGAGGCTTTTGCATATATATATATATATATATATATATACAGTATATATATATATATATATATATATATACAGTATATCTATATCAGAGAGAGAGAGATACACACACACAGATCATGTTATTTTCTTTGGATTTTGTTGAGAAATATTATGGGATGTTGATTTGACAATAAATGTGCATACTATTTACATAATATATACATTCAAAAAAGATAATATGCAAATGCAGTTTAGCTAAACTCTGATGACATCTTAAATACATTTCTCCCCCCTTTTTATTGAATCAGGTGGCGACGTTTTGCGTCTAGATGAGATTGTGCAGCTTTGGAGGGAGAAGAACGCCGGATCCTGTTCCCGCCTCATCATTATTCTCGACACCGACAACTCACTCCCCTGGGTGAAGGAGGTGCAGAAAATCGAGGGACTTTATGTTGCGGTTCAAGGGGCAGTGCTCTCTAGCCCCACAGACCTGGAGATCCAGGACACGCCTCAGCTTGGGGACTT